CAGTCGACACTTATAGGGGTAAGAGCTGCCGATTTATGTAAAGTAAAGGAACACACGGTTGCCTGTTTTCGAATTGCACAGGCCTCGCAGGCGTATCGGGTCGTGTCCGGCGTCGTCACACAATAGCATGATCGTCTTTACTAAGAATGTAAAAGAGGTGGTCCTCAGACTATGTAGTATTGTGCACTGCTTTGGGAGGAACTTGAGACTCTGCATGTTTCTAAATACACAAAGAAATCTCGGAGCTAACCTCTGCAGGACATCAGCGGCCTTTGTTCCCATCTCAAGATGGGAGACAAAGTTCGTTTCAGGAAAGCAATCCAGACCCTTCGCTCTTCGCTGAGCTCTGCACTGTCTCTCGGAAATTCGGGCAGCTCGCCAAATACTGCATGAGATACAGCGCCTTTGACTTTGAGCGCTTAGTTGCAAGCTTTGTACGCTATTTAGCGCTATTTGTTCCTCTGAAGGAGATTTTCCTGGCTAGTGTCAGCGGATATGGGAGCCTTAGATTGGCAGCATCTACTGTTCTGCGATGTAACTGGAATATGTTGACTTCTTTGGAGGTAAGGTGGGGATACAAAAAAAGGCTTATGAAAGGCAACCCTCACCCGTGCAATTGCCCTAGAACGGCCTTTGTGACGGAGATGTATGGCCGGCGCAAAGTATGTGTGTATAGAAGCATGTGCATCAGTTTCGCATGAAGGCAAATTTGAGGATTCAATAGTCATTTCAGATTTTCGTGCTGGTTTCGCTGCTCCCATCTGGCATGGAGGAAAGCCAAGCTCAGCTGTCAGATGACCTTACTTTAGTTCGTTGGCTGTTCAGCCTGATCTTTCAAAGCACAGCTCATCCGCCCAACAAGCGGCGCATGGGGAAATCCGTACCAGTTCTTGGGCAAAAATGTGGCATTGGTCGCGCACTCAGGTTCATTGGAACAATCTTAGAAATTGTGGCTGCATCTACCATAATCTTACGCTCCTCTCCAGCTTGCTGGAGAACTAGTTGAAAGAATGGGCCCTCGGCTTGAGTAGCACGGAGCCTTCTCAGTCAGCATCTAGTGGAGATGAGATTGTGGCATTCCTGCAGTGTGGAGGTGGTCGGATACCATAAGGGGAACCACTCCTGGCATCCGTCCTGCACTTCGTACATGTAAGAGGCAGCAGCGCTGCCAAGTCTTTCGTGGATCACATACTCCAGCTGTGCACTCATGCAGTGGTCGGAGCTAGCCTCCTCGTGCTAGGATTTGCTAGCTTTGAGTGGAAACAATGAACCAAAGCGTTGTTTTCTTACGTCCCGGCCGGTCAGCCATCGTGCTCAAGCAGTCTTTTCCAGCTAGTTGCTCCTCCGCTGCTGCCTTCCAAACACTCTTTGCTCATACATTCCTTAATCCATCATGCACCGCGACATGCAAATGGATGTAGAGGTTTTCACGGAGACGAAGGAGGCGCCAGGAAATGCTGTGAAGGCCAGCAAGCTCCATCTTACAATAGGAGCCCTGGCTCTCTTGAAGAATGCCGAGTTGACGATAGGCGAGGGTCCTGAGAAGCGTAGCCTGATCCACGGTCTCGTGGGCCCGAACGGATGCGGCAAGACCACGCTGCTCCGAGAAATCGCGAGGGGCGATCGCATCAAAGTTCCCAAGTCCTGGAGTGTCCACTACGCACTGAGGCAGCACTGAGATCTTGAGAGTGTACCGTGAATTGCCTGAGCCTTAAAGCGTCAGCCCAGGTCGATCAGCACCTTCCAGAACCAACCGATGCCACACCGATAGAGGAGGTCTTGAAGGCAAATGGCCAGCGGACGAAGTTGCTGGAAGAGCGCCAGCGTCTAAGCCAGAAGCTGGATGCAGCAGACCCAGGCGAAGGCCAAGAGGCTGCTGCAACAGAGCTGAAGAAGGTTGAGGATGCTCTTGGTGAGACAGATGACGATGAGGCAGGGTCGTGCAGAGTCCAGGGTCCATTATAAGCGGGGATGCCCCAAATTAAGGGTACTTTTTGGGCGTTCTCCATAATAAGGATTAATGTATTTTGGGGTCAAATATTGGGGTCCCTGCGTCCCCCTACTTTCGGGAGAGTACCAACTGCTTTAGGCCGAGATCCTGAAGACCTTGGTGGGCTTGGGCTTCTGTGACTTACTGGTGGTTAGTGGGGAATAAGGGAATAGAATCCCTACATGTTACATAATTCTTATACAATTTACTTCCCTATAGAATCACTATACAATAGTAGTTCCCTATACAATCGTGCTACATAATACAAGTCCCCTACTTCCCTACTACCCTAAACCCTAGACCTTCCCCTATTCCTGCTAAGCACCAGCAAGGTGATGGGGGTGCGGAGCCAGTGGAAGGCCAGGCCCCAAGCTTCCGACAGACTATGCACCAGTTGTCCGGAGGCTGGAGGATGATGCTTGGCTCAGATGTTTAGGGTTTGAGGTTTAGGGTTTGGGGTTTGGGGGTGCTTAGGGTTTGGGGTTTGCGGTTTAGGGTCTAGGGTTGGGGTTTAGGGTTCAGGTTGGGGGGTTTAGGGTTTAGGGTTGGGGGAGTTAGGGTTTAGGGTTGGGGGTTTGGTATTTAGGGTTGAGGGTTTAGGGACTAGGGTTTAGGATTTCGGGTTAAGGTTTAGGGATTGGGGTTTAGGGTTGGGAGTTTCTACGAAGTGGGTCCCCATAATAAGGATCGTAGTATTTGGAGGTCTATCAGAGTCTATCATGGGTCCCCCTATTCATGGAAACTGCCAAGTGGGAACTGGCCCTTGTCATTGGGAAGATTGGACAACCTGTTCACTGCGTTTTTTGGTGCCAGTCCACTTGCTGTACTGTAGTCCTCCTTTACCACCATTACCAATTGTAGCGCTGTCCGCTGGCGGTTTTGAGATTTCTTTTTCCGTCAAGGAAAGTGAATCTGGCGAAATGCCTTTGGCTGAAACCCCGTCTTCTGCTCCTGGATGAACCAACCAACCACCTGGACTTTCATGCCTTGGGCTGGCTGTCTTCATACCTCCAGAAATTGCCCAACACCATCACCGTGATCGTGTCACACAACTGTGAGTTCCTCCGTGACACTTGCGACATTTTCCTCTGCATTCAAGACCAAAAGATCTTGAGGAAGGAACACCACAAAATCAGCGACCATGAGATCTCCCAGATGCAGAAGATGCCGAAGACCTTGGACTTCAAGTTTCAGGCGGCCAACGGCCAACCCCACGAGCATGCACTGTCCTTCCATGATGTTACCTTTTCCTACAAGGCTGCAGAGCCTTTCCTGCGGGACCTGAATGGCCTCAAGTTGAGTGGCACCAGCCGATGCGGAATCCTTGGTAGGAACGGCTGTGGCAAGTCTGCCCTCATGGATCTTTGCATCGGAAAGGCAACGCCGAAGCAAGGCGAAATCCATCGGAGTGCCAAAATGGAGCACTTTTCGCAGCATTTCATCGACGAGATCAATGAGTTGATCGACAGCAACCCAACCATCACTGCTGCATCTTTCCTGGTGGAGAAGTGTGGCTCAGTGCTGGGGGCGCAGGGCGGTGCCAGTGAGGAAAAGCAGCTACGCCGAGCACGCGCGGTCTTGAAGAATTTTGGGTTGCAGGATGAGAGGGACATGGCTGACAACGTCCCTCTGAAGAGCCTTAGTGGTGGTCAGAAGGCTCGATTGAACCTTGCCTATCTGTCACTGCGCCCCTGCCATATCCTGTTCCTGGACGAGCCCACAAATCATCTGGATGCAGCTGCCGTTGATGCTCTCACCCAGGCCGCCGTTAACTTTCCTGGAGGGGTGGTCGCGGTGTCGCATGATGCACGCTTCCTGCGGCGCCTCATGAATGAGTCCAAGAACAAAGCCTGCGAGTTCCTGGCGGTGGAAAGCGGGACCGTGAAATCCATGGCTGCCGACAAGCTCTCTGATTACATCAGGCAGGCTAAGATCGAACAGTTCGAGCTGGCAGAGAAAGCGAAGATGAAGGCATTTGAGCGGAAGCGGCGCTTGTCGCAGAGCCAGCGGGCATGTGGTCCGCGGGCTGAGACAAAACCTCCTGAAGCGGATGTCAAGCCTAACCTTCTCAAGGAGCATTTCAAGAAGACGCTCGTCTTCCACTCGCTTGTTCTGTCTTACGTAGCGTTCCTCGCTTTCTTGTGTCTGACCATGTCTGACCTTTGGTTGCAAAGGTATGGAAAGCCCCCGAAGCCAGTGGGGAAGAGCTCCGTGGCGACGCCCAGCAAGGCCAGGCCCATCATCCCTGCGGTCTCAGCCCTGGAGGCTTGGCCGAAGAATGGAGCTGGGTCTAGGGGGTTTAGGATTTACGGGGTTTGCAGGGTTCATGGGGGTCTGTAGGGTTAGTAGGGTTTAGCAAGATAGCTTGTTCCCGCTCGCAGCTGAGGTCTCCTCTACCAGGTCTCAAGAACTTCATGGTAAATGGCCAGGGCCAGGGCCAGGGCCTGCCGGCCGTCACCAGGTCCCGTTGGCTGGATTGGATTCCGCTGATCGGGAAGGCCCGGTGGAAACTCTGGCAGAAAGGCATCAATTGCCTGAGCAAAAGCGGCGTGATGCAGCGGAGTTACCGAACGTCACTAGCCTACTTCAGAGTTGTTTGTGCTTTGCTACCTCTCCGTTGTTCAGTTCTTTAGTTGAATTTCTCCTCCAAGGCGCTCCTTGCAGGAAGTCCAGAGCTGGAGAATGAAAGGGCCTGCGGCCTAGGCTCCGCGAGCGACCACGTCACAGCGCACGTCCAGGAGATCCGTGGCGATGATCTCCAAATTGAGTCGGTGGATGGCAAGGAAGCTGGGGTGTTGGCTTAGGAGTTCTTTCGAGAGTCAGGAATTGTTGTCGACACTGCTCAGGTAGGATTGGGCAGAGGCTTTTTTTTGCACTTGCATTCGGGATCGCACCTGAGGAGCGTGACAGCAGATTCAAGCAAATCCGCAAGTTGCGGAAAGCACTGCGAGAGATTCAAAGGCTAGAGTCTGAGCAGAGCTGGGGCGTAGCTTTGCGAAACAACCAGCGACAGAAGCTTGGCAAGAAGGAGGCTTACCAGTCCGAACTGGAGAGTCTCTGCAACGAGAGCCGGTGATTCACCAGTGCGACTAGCGCCATGCATTCCGGCCTTGCTTTATTGCGTAGTCCGACATGCATGGATGTCTCCAGCATTTGAGCTTTCGTGCTTGTTTGATGCATGTTGTGCAGAGGTGTGGCCTTGCTTAATTGCACAGTCCCCACACCAACTGCGCTCTGCCTCCAAGTGCTCTGTTGCCGGTCTTCTTTTCCCAAACCTGTAAATACTTCTTATGCCGTTGTAGGCTCCGGGCTTTGTGGAAGCCATCCACAGCCCCAACGATTGAGAGCCCTCTCAATGGTGACCCCTTGGCCAGGCGACTACGCCTTGTACAGCATGGCCAGGGCTCTTTACATTACCACGAGACTAAGCATGGCTAGGAATCAGCCCATGGATTATGTGGAGTGAGGAATGTCGGCGAGAAAAAGCGGGTAAGCCCCTCGATTAAGCTTTGCTTGCAGTTCTTTCCGTATTCCGTTCCCTTACAGACACCAAGGAGCAGGACAGTGCACAGGATTACCTCTCCTTCTCTGTCAAGGTGAGGATTCGCGGAGAATATATCAAAGTGTATCATCTGTTCCAAACGTGTATGAGCCTTGCTGCCTCCAGGCAGCTAAAGAAAAATGAGTCTATGCCGCATGCCTCACTCGCAAACAACTTGTGCAAAGGACATGCTTGCGCCCTCTTACCTGATCTGCCTGTGCATAGCGCGTGGCAAGCCTCGTATAGTGCAGAACGAATTGCCCTGTGTGCCAAGCAGTTGTTTCTAAGCAGCGTGGCTCAACCCCTAGCTGTGGTAGGAGAACCATACATATATCCATTGGAATGATAAGCCTTCAACATCCTGCCTTCAGAGTTCGATGCAGCCTAGCATTGTGCAGACACGCGAACAGAGACATGCTGAGGACATGCAGGGTCATGATCTGTCACGTAGTCTACTGGGAGTTTAGGCTATTGCTCATATGGTCCCGAGAAGAGACTGACTTAACTATCTACGGGTGCCACCTCCGACGAAGTTAGGTGAGGTCTACCTTTTTAGCATCTGGATGTTTGCTGGCAGGCACTAGTTACCGAACCAACCTCTTGACATCCACATACATAATTCAGCTGGCTCGTAGCCCAATAAGGGCAGCGACCAGCTCCGCAGCTCCGCAATGGAGATCAGGAATGTGGCAGCCCGGCGCTCACTTTCACAAGTCTTACAACTTTGCTCTTTCTTTTTGAGACAAGGTCTGGGCGCTTTGGTGTCTAGCGATTCTTCCATGTGTGGGTGGCAGAGGGGCGCAGCTCGTCAACATCCTTTCCAGACATTTGTTGCCAATGTGCGTTTGTTGCCATTGCATGCAGCTTTTTGACCCAGGACGAACAAGGCTGTCACCTTGGTGCAGCGTAGATTGACGGCATCGGTGCACAGCGGGCAGCACATTGATGCCTTCGAAGCCGTTGAGGGAGGTACCGATCGCGTTTGTCGCGGAAGCAGCGTGTCAGACGATGACAATTCTTATTATGTTGTGCATGGTGGAAGCACAGCAGGCAGCTTGGAAGCGTGCAAGAACGCTTGTGTGGACACACCGGGATGCAGAGGCGTTGAGTTCCGGCCAGGGCGCTGCGAGGTTTGGACACGGGTTGGTGGCATCCAGGCTGCAGCAGTGACAACAGGGCCGGTCTCTGGGCTGTGCTTTGGCAAAAGGTTCTGATGTTCAGAAACTCTTGTAGGAGGCATCTGCATCTCCACTAGTCACGTGAGTCTCGTGTCTCGGGGATAATCCAGGTTTGCTTGCGCTACGTACCTTTCGTACTTGCGGAGGGCAAGCTGGATCGCGCCTGCCGTGGTGGCAGCGTGTCAGACAACAACCCTGCCTTCTATGAGATCATGTCTGCGAGCTCCTTGGAGGTAGATCTGCAGAAAACAGACTACCACATGCAGACTTTGAACAACACTTTTCTTGCAGTACTCGTAGAAGAGGCTGCACAGTGCTACCTAAGCTTGACTGGAAACCGTGTGTTTCTCCGTGCAGCATTCCCCTGGAAGGCGTGCCAGGACCTTTGCCTGGGTTTTTCTGGATGCTGGGGCATCGAATTCAGTGGTACCCGCTGTGAGATCTGGACGCGATCCGAAAGGATTGCTGCTACAGCTCCCCTTTTGCAAAGTGTTTGCCAGAGGCCCAGCATGAGACAGCTTGGATTAGATAGCTTGCATGCGACCTGAGCTCTCAGACCGTGCCTGAGGTCAGCCTTTGGCGCCCTTTGTTCAACTGGATGGCAGCGACCGAGCCTGCCGGGGTCGTGACGACTCCGACATCGAGCCCAGCTTCTACTCGAGCCATCCCGCATTGTCGATGGAAGCCTGCAAGTCATTGTGCGCGCAGAGCCCGCTTTGCCAGGGCATCGAGTTTTCTTCGACCGACTGCAAAATTTGGACCCGTGCTTCTGGCATCCAAGCTACAGCACCTTTACCTGGGGCAGTTTGCCTTCGCTCGGGCACAGCGGGTGTGCCAGACGCTTTCTTAAAGGTCGACGGCGGCATAGATCGCGCCTGCCGGGGCCAGTCTGCCTCGGATTGGAGTCCGTCGTATTTTACCTACTTTAGTGCTGCACAGGCGCCAACGCTTGATGACTGCAAGGCCAGGTGTTTGGCCGACATAGCCTGCAAAGGAATCGATTTCAGCGCTAACGGATGCAATGTGTGGAACCGTGCCGTTACTACATCCATAAGCTTCACGGGATCTACATGTCTCAGCTATGAGCCCTTTGTGGGCATAGATGGGGGCGAGAGGCGCGGCTGCTTCGGTGACCCGCCATACCAGACACCTGGATGTCATAGCAAATCCGAGTTTCTCATGGCGTCGTGACTGGCATGCGAGCAGATGCAACTAAGGATTGCCACGTTAACTTTCGCAGCCTCGGAGATTGCTGATCGATGCAAGCTGGAATGTGCGAAAACCCACGCATGTCAGGGCATCGAGTACAGCGCTTCCCAATGCAATGTTTGGACCTCAACTATTTCGGGCAGCTACTCCAGCGCCGAAAGGACATGTTTCCGCTACCAGCCCTTTATCCCGGTTGCTGGACTCTCTTCAGACGATCTGGTGTAAGTAGTCATGACAAGCACATCAAACCAGCTGACATTGAAATCCATCGTATGTTCTAGTCTCTTGTTGCCAGACCAATCAAGGTTGGCGGTGGCTTGGACAGAGCCTGTGGAGGTATGGGCCCAACGGATGCGTGGCCCAGTTACTACACACTCACAAGCTCCGAATCTTTGTCGCTTGCCTCCTGCAAAACTTTGTGCGTCTCCACGGTGAGCTGCAGAGGGATCCAGTACAGCGCGGGAAGTTGCCAGGTTTGGACAAGGCGGGGTGGCATCCAGGCATCCCAAGACCAGAGTGGCTCGCTATGCTTGCGGCTTGGCTCCTGGGACACCTGGGAAGATGCCAGCTCTTTCATTTCGATGGAGGGAACCTGCGGTGGCCAGGGTTTGATTGAGCGTTTCCATGGACATGAAATGGCCTCATCATTGCAAGAGTGTGAGATACGCTGCGCATCCATTCCTGGCTGCAGAGGAGCAGTTTTTGGTGCAGCAGGATGCAGAACTTGGCATGGATCTGGAAAGGTGGAGGCCTCCGCAGAACCAGGAACGACTTGCCACAGCTTCGAGCCCTTCCGTGACGTGGACGGGGGCGTGGGTCGGGCCTGCCGCGGAGCGACCTTAACGGATTTGCAGGACTCCTACTACAGCAAGAGCTCCGCCAGTTCACTAGAGGACTGCCAGGACCAGTGTGCCAGGCTGAGTGAGACCACGGGGACCTGCAAGGGCATCTCCTTTGACACAGCGTCCGGTGCCTGCCGCCTGTGGACGCGACCGTCTGGTATCGAAGCCACGGCCACGGCCAGCACATGGGTCTGTCAGCGCTACGAGCCTTTTGTGCCTCTGGACGGTGGCCGGAACCGAGCATGCCGCGGGCAGCACTCGCAAGATACATCTGCCACCTATTACACTACATACTCTTCATCCCAAGTTGCTAGCTTGGAAGCCTGTCGCGTCCGTTGCCTTGCATCCCCAGGATGCAGAGGCAGGCCCACAATATCAATTCCTGTGAGTCTGTTAATTAGTTGGAAGCTTCAATCAGCAGCCTACAGCACTTAGAGTTCATGCCCCAAGGCGTTGAATTTGGTGACGGTGGCTGCAAAGTTTGGACCCGAGACGTCAGAGCAAGCGCTGAAGCCTTTGGTTCTGTGTGCTTGCGGTCCCCTCGCTTGCAAGCAGTCTCCATCTCTATGTAGCATTCAGTAGCGGATTCTTGAAGCAGGTTGGTTCCTTTCTAAATGGTTGCGGATGTTAAATCACCTTGCACCCACACTCTGCGTTTGCTGCGATGAGGCTGATGCCGCTGGGCCTGGAGGAGCTGGCGGGCTCGGCGGATGCTTTCCAGGCCGTGGAGGGCGGGGTGGGCAGGGCCTGCCGCGGGGCCAACAGCGCGGACACGCAGGCATCCTACTACGACTACTACCACCCATCGCTGGTGGCGACCATGTCCCGGTGCAAGGAGTTGTGCATTGAGACCTCAGGCTGCCAAGGCCT